CGGCATGCCAAGCTCTGTGTAGAATGTGGTGGGGGTATCGCTGCCTTTTTATCCTGGATTGGCTCTTTGGTTGTCTTTCTTTTGCTGCCTATTGTCCTCATACCCTCCCTGCACAGGGCAGGCATATTCTGCTGTTGTTAGGTTGTGAGTGCCATCTAGAGGTGTTTGAGTCTCATAGTGACCCGAGGAGAGTGTGGATTTTCTAGGCCATAGTCTTTACAGGGTTACCGGTGTTCCTCTTACAGAGTCATTGGGGGAGTTCAAACCACGGGCCTTTAGGTTAGCCATTGAGTGCTTCACCTGAGCACCACCAGGAGCCTTTGATTTCTGGACCTGGACACGGTTGCTAGAGCCATATTTCCTCCTGCACATTCTACGTTGGCATCAAACAAGGTCTTTCCTGGTTGAAATTCTCAATAAACAAAGTTTGCCTTTGGTCATGCTTACTTCCAATTTCTGCTACCTTTGCCCTCCTTCCGTGGCTTCTTCCCTTGGCCGTGTGGCCTCCCTCCCTCCCCATTCCTCCCATTTTAGGCTGGACCATTCCTTCCCAGATGCAATGAGACTCTTGATTCATCCCCAAAGCACCACCAGAATCTCAGCGTGGGGGTGGATTCAGTGCAGTTGGAAGAAAGCATAATGTGAGCATGAAAGTAAATGAGAATTTAGGATGTTAAGGAAGGTGTGAGATCCCAAGTCAATCAAAAGGAGGTGAGTCAAGTAAAGGTAGAGAGAGACACCATCCTGAATGCCATCATTCATTGCCTTATCCGCACTGCCCTTGGGTCGGTGCGGCCGCAGAGTGACTGCACAGGGTTTCCAAGGCTGTGCATCCTAACAGGAGCAGACAGCAGCATCTTTCCTCTGTGGAATACTCAGGGGTTTGAGTCGCAGACCACGTGATGATCAAGCCAGTGCTGATCCAGCAGCAACACCTTATTCAGAGGCCCCCAACTGGGGAGAGAGGAAGGGATTTTCTGTGGCATAATTCACCCTAAGATGCTAGTGACTGAAAAAACCCCAAGCCCTGCACTAGAGGACTTGAACTTTCCAAGGGCCAGGAGAGAAAGTGATAGTTAAAGGAGGGAGCTTAGCTCCTAAAGATGGGCATTGAGTACTTTTCAGATATGAGTGTTGACAATGTTCTGAATGCTGGTGGCCTTGCACTTCACAGGTTATAACCATCTTACCTACGAGAAAGGCTCTTTCTAGTTATTCATGAAGGGAGAAGTCTGTCCCTACGAGCTTTTGGACAGGCCAAGGAAGCAGGACGGGAGAAGGATGTGGAAGGAAGCCCAGGGACCAGGGCCGAGGATGCAGACGCGGAAGTTCAGCTCTGAAGTGGGTGAGGCAGATAAGGGTGGGCACTGGCTCCGGGAACTGAATAATTCAGCTGCCAACTCACAATGGAGACAGACATAAGCAAGACAGGCCTCTTCCTCCCTCCTTCCTCCCTTGCTGCTTGCTGTTTTGAAGAGAGGGGATTGACAGCCCTTTGTTTTCAGGATGTAGTGGGAAGACAAAGGAGAATCAAACCAGTGTTCTTGTACAAGCTTAAATCTCATCGGCTTTGGGGACCCGGGTGATGAAAGCTAGAACACGTTGGATGGCGGTATAAGAAGGAGGTGGGGAGTCACCGGGCTGCAAAGGGGAACGGAGAGTTAGGCTCCCTCAGGCCGCTGTCTGTCCTTATGGGGTGTAGTGTGGCTCACTGTGAGAGTGAGTTAGGAGCTCCTTTATTGATGCTGGGCCACTGCAGCGTGAGTGACTGGACTCAAGGACCAGTTCCCATGCAAGGACTGGGAAGATTCGGAGAGACAGGAGGCTGTGTCTCCTTTCACTTAAGCATGTGTGCTGGCACTGCAGACAACACAGGTGTCTGTCCTAGAGAGGTTCCCACATTAGAGCCCTGGAAGCGAATACAGAAATAACTCAAAAGCAAGAGAGTCAATGCTGTCAGTTCTAAGAGCAAATCAGAGAGTTAAGAAGCATGGAAGAGGGTAAGGAGGATTTTAGCTTTCTTGAAGCAGGGGGCTTCGCATGGCACCCCCAGGAGGGCCGCCATGAGCTAGATTAGGTTGGGAAGGCCAAGGAAGCAGAAAGCGTGGCACAGGCAAATGTTCAGAGGAGCCTCATACACGCGCCTGTTTGGCCCCGAGTACGAGATGTCGTGGCACTGTCAGAAATCGAGCCAGGTTGACACCGTGGCTGCAACAGGGAGCTCCCGGGTCAGCATTGCGAGGATGGGACGGGCGGTGTGCTCCTCAGTTGGACACAGCGTCTCTCTGAGGGGAACAGACTCACTGACAGCAGCAAACAGTATTATCCATCGTGAAGTCTTGGGGCCACGTGGTAGACATACTTGGCTGCTAACCAAAAGGCAGCCTTTGAGGCAATGGGTGGCGTCTCGGAAGAAAGGCCTGGCAATCTACTCTAGACAAATCAGCCACCGAAAACGCTATGCAGCAGAGTTCTTCTCTGACACACACGGTGTTTCCGTGACTCGAAGTTGGCTGGAGGGCAGCTCGTTTTCAAACACCTAGCCCCATTTCAGACCCCCACAATACCGGGCATAGTTGCTGATCGTCAGATTATTGGCACCTCTCCCCAGAGGGGCTTCAAGGACACCTAAAATGCATGTGCAACCTGGTGTTGCTTCTAAGTCATTTCCCGGGTAGCTGAGGCAGGCCCAGAAGACATCCCTGTCCACTCAGAGGCTTAGGCCATGATACTGGCCATCATCCTGAGTCCACCCCTCAAAAAAAAAAGTCCCATCAATTGGCAAGTCCCATTATACCTACCTCGAAACATATATTCCAGTTGGAAGATTTCATCATTTCCCCTCAGCCATTCTAGAGCAAGCTGCTGTCACCGGAATCCTGGACCACTGACTTAGTCTCCCCGTGGGTTTTCCTAAATCACTCTTGTCCCTACAGTTTATTCTCCACATGACAGCCAGACTCATCTTTAAAGATGCAAATCAGCCTGCTTCACCCTGCGACATATACTTCTCACCAGGACCAGTAAGACCTCAATGCATTCATCCTTCTCTGACTTCCTCCCAAAGCCTTTCCCAGAGCTCTCTGTTCTCCAGCCACATTGTGCTTCTCTCAGTTCCTCAAATAAGCCAGCTCATTCCCAGGTATCAGGACTTTTGCATAACATCTTTCTGGGTCCTAGTTCACATGCTACCAGTCAGAAAGGTCTCTCTGTGCTAACCCAAGTATCGTTCACCCACCAAATAGTCCTTATTTTGTACCCCATCAACTGTTCCTTAAAGGGCTTAATGCTATTTGAAAGGTGCTCTCATTTGCTCTCATGATTTGGTCTGAAGCTCTCCATCCAACTACAAACATTCCAGCAGTTGGAACTTTGCTTCATCGCCCTTTTTTCCCCAGCTTAGGCCACAGAGTTTCCATCTAGCAAATATTTGTTGAATAAATCTCTGCCCCTCACTCACCCTGTATGCGTGGACCCAGTGGATTAACAGAGCCCTGGTGGTGTAGCGGATTAAACATTGGGCTGCTAATCACAAGGTTAAGAGTTCTAAACTGCCAATGGCTCTGCAGGAGAAAAATGAGACTTTCTACTCCAAATAAGAGTCACAGTCTTGGAAACCCACAGGGGCAGTTCTGCCTCATCTGCTGGGGTCACTATGCTGACACTGACTTGATGGCAGTGAACGGGTGGGTTGGGGATGGGGGTTGACAGCCTGCAGTCAACTTTCCTGGGAAGGGTGTGCTTTCAAGGTGTTTGGGGACCAATATTTCTTCAGCACCGAGGGGTCAGAGTTCAGACTTCAACAAGCAATGGCCAGGAGGACCCTACCAGAGAGGACACACATGACCCAGCAAAGCTCTGCAGTTACGGTAAGCCATAGCCTCGGACATGTGCTAAGAGCCAGGGAATCTAGGCAGTTTATGAGGGGACCTCAACATGTTTATGGAAACACGGAATTAAAAGAGGATGGAATTTTCCCCTGAGCATTTTGAAGCCCCTGCATAGGTACTTAGACACAGAAGAGCTCACCACATATGTTGGAATTAGGAAATGAATCACATTAGTGATTCCCAAACATCTGAATCTTCTATAGAGCTGGTAAGGGGGGAGTGGACAAAGAGACTTGACCTTCTCCCAGATGTATTGAATCAGAATCCCCGGAATTGGTATCTTAAGCAGGTGTCCCTTTAAAAGCCACTGATCTGGGCCAACTGCTGATAGTAGTTCTCTTATTGCTTGGTGTTCTAGAACTTTCTGCACTCAGGTCTCCCTGAGCCCCATGGCTGAAAGCCCTCAGCTCTTCGTAAGGCAGCTTTTGGGCACCATAGCATCAAATAGGTGAATAGTGCTTTATAGGCACACAAAGCACTTCCCCAAACCCTTATTTGATTCCGGGCCTTGGGTTTAATCTTCTGCTCATCCTATGGACCATGTATTCACCAGAACCAACCAACGCAGGTTCCCCCCCCCCAGCGTAAGCTAACAGGAAACTCTTTCTCCAGTCTTAACTCACTGAGTCCTTCCCTGGTACCCAGGGCAGGCAGGGCCCCTCTGGACTGGGCCTTCCTGAGGCTTAGCAGGGGCAACAGAGTAAAGCCTCGTTGCCTAGGTGGCCATCCGTTTACCTTAACTCCAGGATGCTGGTCACATTTCGAGAGGGGAAGATGCGTCGGATGTAGTTGAAGTCACCCACAAACAGGCTCCCATCAATCCCAACAGCCAGAGCTACTGGGGCCAGCAGCTTGTTGCCTTCAGCAAGGCCATTGCAGCTGGGACAGGAAATGCTCCTCCGGCGGCCATTACCCATGATGCTGGTGATGATGGCAGGCTGCTGTGTCAGGAACTGGTTCTCCCCTGTGCCCTTGTGCAGGATTCCTAGGATACATGGAAGTGGAAAGAGCCATGAGGAAAGGTGAACGGGGGTGGGGGGTGCTCTCCAATTTCTTTACAAGGCTGCCCAGGGCAGTCACGGGGGATGGTGGAGGCCAACCCCAAATGCAGCGGAATCAGGTAAGGTCACGTTTGTAGGGTGACGTGAAGAAGAATTGGGAGGTACAGGCAGGCTGGTGCTCTGTAGAGACCAGCTCAATGTTTTCAGTTTTTATTTTCTGACATTGGAAACAAGAAGGTGGGAAAACCTGTGACTGTTTGGGGAACTTGGTTAAAAAAATGGCTGAGGGAAGGAGAGGGCCTTCCGTGGGAATGTCAAGACTGGAAAGAAGATTCCAGAACAGAGGAGGGTGTGTTTGGGAAAGGAGACCTGTCACTTACCACTTTTCACATTGAGGATGTGGTGCTTGTCCAGGGACCAGCCCCCGAGATTGGACGGGTCCAGCTCGAAGCCCTGAAGAAGGGCCGTTCTTTTCTCCCAGAGGATCAGACTGGGGCACGTCTCGTACTCGAAGCCGACAGACACTGCAAGACGGAAAGCAGTGAGCTGGGGCGAGAGGAGGGGTCACAAAGCAAGAGAGACAACACAACGCACTCAGGGCATCACGAGTCTGCTCCAGGAACTTGTTCAAGGAGGCGGTCTCATGTGATTTCCCAATATTACATTCAGAGTCCAAGTAGAACTCCACCTTGAAGGTTTCCATAGTCATACTCCGTGGGAACGAAGCAACCGCTCAAATGAGCCGCTGGCTTTCAAAAACGACCCCAGTGACATGGAGGGTAGAGAGGAATCAATGAAAAACCTTAATAAAATCCTTCTCTCGGGTGGGACAGGGGCCTGGGCCGCCCAGCCTGCTGTTTGTGGTGTTATTATCTCTTCACTTGCCAGGAGACAGTGGCTTCTAGTCCCAGGGAGTGGGTCCTTCAACTAAGTGAAGGGATCCGCACTGCAGATCCCTGAGGGCTTTGGAGGATGACGTGGGGCGTGCAGCCCCTAGTTACGGGGAGACTCAGAAGGTAAGAGCTATTTGTACAATGCGTGCATCGTGCCACGTGGAAAAGCGTGCGGGACAGAGGAGGGCACGACAGTCACCAGCTCCAGGTTTGCTGCTGCTTGAAATAACCTGTGCTCCATTTCCCACATGACTGAAGTCGTTGTTTTCAAGGAAATGTAGTAAGAATAAACTAAAATCAAATTTGCTGCCATTGAGCCAATTTGGACTCAGCCCCTGTATTATATATGAGGGGGCTTCAAAAAATTCAAGGGAGAAAGGCCATTATCTCTTAATACAATTTTCCATGAACCTTCAGCAGACTCCTTGCAGCAGGACTGAGCCCCATCATTTTCCTGGTTGTTCTCTTTACAGAAGTAGATTGCCAGGCCCTTCTTATACTCTGCTTCTGGGTAGGTTTGAACCACAAACCTTTCAGTTAGTGGTCAAGTTCAAATATTTTGTGCTCCCTAGGGACCTGTTGTATGGGTAGATGAGCTCAGATGCTGAGATGCCATGCATTTTTAATTGGAATAGAGCTCCAGAAATATGAGGCACAGCTCTTATTGCTTTTCCTACTACACTAAACTCTAAAGTACGTGTTAAGAATATCTGTGGGGCTTCTCTGCAGCTTCTTTTAAATCCTGAGCTATGGAAGTGTCGATATCAATGTGAGATGCATTTTATTTAAAAAAACAAAATATAGTTTCTAGCTTGGCCTCTGAAAATGCCAATAAACAATGACTCACCCAGGAGCAAAGAGAAGTGCTTGTGCCTCACTGGTGGCTTTGAGTTATTATTTCTCAATAAAAATAAAATCAGGACTCTTGTAGAAACGGCTAGAGCAAACTCAGGCCATGTTATCACACCAGCTCATATGGAAACCAACAAAATCAACTAGGGTCATATATAAAATTTGGGAACCAACTTGAAGAGGCTCCCACTGACCATAGATGTGACAATATGGCCGTCAATAAGAATCTTAACATCAATGGATTGAAGCATATCTGTCTTATTTCAACCTATGAGTATACAAAGATGTTTTTAAACAATTAATTGATCTCCATCAGAGGATGCTAAAAAAACAACTGATTATACTGAAGACTAGGAAATAAGGGAAAATAATGAAGCATTTATCACTGGCTTCCTATTTGAACTGTACCTCCAATAAGCAAATAGTTAATGAGAAAGTGCCTCTCCAACAAATATACACATGTGCTTGACCCAATGGATGGATGTTTGGATTGTGATAAGAGTTGTATGAGCCCCCAATAAAATGATTAAAACAAACAAAAAAAAGAAAGTGCCTCTATATAAGAAGCTTTCCAGAGGGGGAGGGCATACTAGAACTGAGTGTTATTGCACAACTCATTTTAAAGGCGATTTAACCATGGAGTGGAGGGGGGAGGGGGGAGACGCTCTAAGATAGGTGTGATGCTGATTGTACAATTCCCCTTGATATGATTGAATGATTGAATTGTTCAATTGTATGATATGTAAATTCTGTGTCCATAAGAAATGTTGACAAGAAATCACAAGAACCACCACAACAAAACCAAGTACATGAGACAAAGTCTTGCCATCCTTGCTTCTGAGGATCATTATGCTGTAGTACTTCTTCCAAGACAGATTTGTTCTTTCTTCTGGCAAATCATATTTTATTAAATATTCTCTACCAACAACATAATCACATATAAATAAAGAAAAAAGCTTTCCTGCTAATAAGTGAATAAGGAGTGTTTCCTGGGTTGAATTGTCTTTCCCCCAAATATGTATCAAGGTGGCTAGGCCATGATTCCTAGCTTTGTGTGGTTGTCCTCTGATTTGTGATCTGATGTAATTATCTTCCAAGTTGTGATACTATGTAATATGCTTCCATTTAATATGCTATAAATCCAGTCTCTACATGTTAATGAGACATAACAACTGTAGGTGTATGTTGAGTCACAGTCTTTTTTACAAGAGGATGGGATTCGAATTACATGACTACTCAAGTTATACCCACACTCAAGTCATTACCCTTCTTCAGGACACACCCTTGCTTAAGTCAAACCTTTTATCTTACACAAGAAAAACGCAGAAAGAAGCACGCAGGGAGAGAAAGGACTTGGCCACCACCAAGAAGGAAAAGCCAGAAGGAGCACGTTCTCTGAACCGAGATCCCTGCTCTGAGAACCTCCTCAACCAGGGAGAAGGCCAAGACACAGGGACATCTCCAGGGAATACCGGTGCACAAATGCTGAAGGAGATAAGGACCTTGTCCCTAGAGCTGAGAAGAAAGAAGGAAAAAACCACCAAAAACCTACTCTTATAACTGGCACCCTGAATTTGAATATCTATTCTCCTAAAATGTGAACAGAAGATTTCAAAAGGCAGCTCAATAAGACAAATCAAACTGATAATGAATTTAGCAAAGATCTAACAGCTAGTAAGCTCAAAGAGAAGAATGCAGCTTGCATTTCTTCAGTGGAAAGAATAAAAATTTCAAGCCTTGCAGCCAACATTGAAGGATCCCATGGGCAAAGTATTGAAAGATACAGGAAGCTTCAAAGGATATAGAGAAAATACCCTCCCTGCTCCCACTACCATGACTCGAATTCTACCTTGCAAGTCTGGTTAGACCAGAGGATGTACACTGGTACAGATAGGAACTGGAAATACAGGGAATCCAGGACACATGACCCCTTCAGGACCAGTGGTGTGAGTGGCGAAACAGGGAGGGTAGAGGGAGACTCGGTAGGAAAGAGGGAACCGATTGTAAGGAACTATATGTGACCTCCTCCCTGGGGGACAGACAACTGAAAAGTGGGTGAAGGGAGACGTCGGACAGGGCAAGATATGACAAAATAACAATTTATAAATTATCAAGGGCTCATGAGGGAGGGGGGAGCGGGGAGGGAGGGGAAAAATGAGGACCTAATGCCGGAGGTTTAAGTGGAGAGCAAATGTTTTGAGAATGATGAGGGCAATGAATGTACAAATGCGCTTTACACAATTGATATGTGCATGGATTGTGATAAGAGTTGTATGAGCCCCTAATAAAATGATTAAAAAAAACATTTAACAATCTCTATCTAAAAGAAAAATACAAAAAGCCATTGTATCAAACAATATTTGGTCACAGTAAGTGCTCAATCATTTCAGGATCTAGAATGTGACCAAGGACCGATGGTAATGAAGACAGACATCCAAGCTGCACTGAAGGCACCGGAGCAAAGCAACGCTCCAGGAATTGACAAAATCAATCGAGATGGTTCAACAAATGAATGCAACACTGCAAGGACACCCCTGTCTAGGCCAAGAAATTTGATAGCCACCTGGCCAAAGGACTTGGAGAAATCTCTATTTGTGCCCATTCCAAAGAAAGATGATAGAACAAAATGGGGAAATTATGAAGTAATAGCATTAATGTAAAAATAGTGAGGAGGACTTGCAGCACTTGCTGATGAAGATCAAGGGTTGTAGCCTTCAGTATTCATTACAACTCAATGTAAAGAAGACCGAAATCCTCACCACTGGACCAATAGGCGACAGACATCATGATAAATAAAGAAAAGATGGAAGCTTTGCATTGGGTGAATCTATGCTATAAGACCTCTTTCGCATGCTGAAAAGCAAGGATGTTACTTTGAAGACTAAGGTGTGCATGACCCAAGCCATGGTATTTTCTTTATTTTTTTAATTAAGCCATGGTATTTCAATTGCCTCATATGAACGTTGGACATTGAATAAGGAAGACCAGAGAAGAACTGATGCATTTGAATTGTGGTGCTGGCGAAGACTACTGAAAGTACCACCAACTGGCCAAAGGACAAATGAGTCTGTATTGGGAGAAATAAGGCCAGAGTGCTCTTCAGAGGTAAGGATGGCCAGACTTCCTCTTACATACTTTGGACACGTTGTCAGGTGAGACCATTCCCTGGAGAAGGACATCATGCTTGGTAAAGTAGTGGGACAGCCAAAAAAAGGAGAAAGGCCCTCAAGGAGATGGATTGACACAGTGGCTGCACAAATGGGCTTAAGCATACGATCAATTGTGAGGATGGTGCCGGACTGGGCAGTATCTCCTTCTCTTTTGCACAGGTTTCTGTGTGTCAGAACTGACTGGATGGCCCCTCACAACAGCATCATCAATAGCACATGGAAATAAAATGCTGCTGACAAGGCCGACAGACTGTTGTATCAGTACTCTGACAGGAGACTTCCAGAAAGTCAAGCCGGATTCAGAAACGGACATGAAATGAGGAACATTATTGGTGATGTCTGATGGATCTTGACTGAAAGCAGAGGATACCAGACATCTGGTTTTCTGTATTTTACTGACTATGCATTTGACTGTGTGGATCATAACAAATTATGGAAAACATTGTAAAGGATAGGAATTTCAAAACACTTAATTGTGCTCCTATGGAACCTGTGATCATAGATCAAAACACAGTCACTGAAACAGGAAACTAGTGAATGGTTTAAAATCGGGAATTGTTTGTGTCATAGTTGTATCTTTTCACCCTACCTGTTCAATATGCATGTTGAGCAAATAATATGAGAAGCAAACTACATGAAGAAGAACCCACCATCAGGATCGGAGGAAGACTCATTAACTACTTGTTATATAAAGAAACACCACCTTAATTGCTGAAATCGAAGAAGACTTGGAACACGTATTGATGAAGATCAAAGCTACAGGCCACAGTAAGAATTACACTTCAACGTAAGACAAAGATGCTCACAACTGAATAAATGAAATCATGATACATGAAGAAAGGAACGGAAGTGTCCAGGATTTCCCTCTACATGGCTCTAAGAGCAACGTCCTAAGAAGGAAGGAGCCATCCGAACATAAAATGAGGAACCTCCTTAAAGTGAGCTAGAGCACAGATGTCACTTGGAGGACTGAGGGGCACCAGGCTTGATTATCCCTGGTCTTTTTCATGGACTGACTCGTATGCATGTGCAGGAAGGACCATAAATATGGAAAACTGATGTAGAAGCAATGCCTTTGAATCATGGTCTTGGTGAAGAATATTAAATGAATCTTAGACTGCCATTGAACAAGAAACTCTGGTGGCACCTTTGATAAACTCTCAGCTGCTATCTGAAAGATTGGCAGTTCAAACCCACCAACTGCTTCATGGGGGGAAATGGTGGCACTCTCCTCACATAAACCTGATGGGGCAGTTCTACCCTGTCCTATAGGGTTGCTATGAGTTAGAATTGCCTCGAGGGCAACAGGTTTGGCCAGAAGAACAGAGAAATCTGTTTTGTATGAAGTACAGGAAGAATGCTCCTTACAAGCATGGGTGGTCAGACTTCGCCTCACATACTTTGGACATGCTACCAGGAGAGACCAGTCCCTAGAGAAGGACATCATGCCTGGTGAAGTAGACAAGGAGGCAGACCCTCTGTGAGTGTATATTGACACAGTGGCTGCAACAATGGGCTTAAACATAACAATTGTGAGGGTGGGGAAGGACTGAATAGTTCTTCATTATGATATAGGATTGTTTTAAGCCATTATTGACTAGCTCTTACCTGATAACAACAACAACAGCAACAACAAACTATAAAAGAATAAATTTCTTTCTGCTAAAGCCTCCATCTGTAGTATTTCTGTTATAGCAGCATTAGATAACCCAGACAAAAGGACAGAATTAAAACACCATTTTATAAAGACTTAATGGATCTAGCCAATGAGCATCAATGGTCATTAAAATCACCCAGCCTGACACTACTTGCCTCCCTATGAAGAACACAGTCTCTTGTGTCAAAGGAAAATCACATCTGGATCTGAAAAAGCCTTGGGTTCAACTACCCATTTGTAGGAAGTACAGGGGACAGAGGAACAAGGTAAGTGGCCACAGGTATGCACACACAAAACAAAGCAAAATCAATACAGACAATGGGAAATTCTATAAGCAAAAAGTAAGAGAGAGATAGAGATTGATTGATTGATTGGTTGGTGGGGGGATGGGGGCCTATTGATTAAAATAAACTGGAATAAAAAACCAATCAATTCTAAGAGGCCAGTCTTACTTGGATCTGGATGGAAACAAATACAGTATTAATATTTTAAGACCATCATGAAAATTGAAATCTTGAACAAGGATGAGCTATTTGAAAATATTAATAAACTACTGTAGTTTTTTTTCAGTTGTGAGGATACGGTTGTATATTTTAAGTGTCTTTTATAGATTCATTCATTTTATAGATTTCATTGTGAAACACTGTGGATATAGTGAAACGATGTCTGAAACTTGCTTCAGAAAGATACAGGTGATGGAAATAGGTGGGTGTATTAAAAAACAACAACAACCCAGATTTGCCATGATGTTGCTAATCGTGGATGCTGGAGTGCCTGGGGCACATTATAATATTCAGTCTACCATTTGATAGTGCCATTTTGGTATCAGCTAAAGCCAGATCAAATATTTTTATTAACCAGTGTTTTATGTTCAATGCTCCAGCTATGCCAATAACTTATTCCTATCTTTAGAAAAACCCAATGCCATCCAGGGGATCCCCCCTCCTGGTGACCTTGCAGGACGGAGTAGAACTGTCCTCTGGGGTCCCAGGTGGTAATCTTCATGGGAGCAGACATCACATCTTTCCCCCACAGAGCAGCTGCTGGGTTCAAACCACGACCTTTTGAGGAGCAGCTGAGCCCTTAACCATGATGCCGTCAGCTCGTCGTCACTGTTTTCACCGAGCTATTAACCCCACTGACAAGGAGGCAGAACTGCGCAGTGGGGAGGGGAGAGAGGCAACTGGAGGCCACTTGCCGAGCTGTTGTGACACGCTGGTTACATGACCTTGGGCAATCTATTTCCTCTCTCCCCCATTGGCGTAATGGGATTATGAGTGAATGCCTACTTCTTTTTGGAAGAAGTACGGCCAGAAAGCTCTTTAGAGGCAAGGATGGTGAGATTTCGTCTCACTTAATTTTGACATGTCAAGAGAGCTCAGCCCCTGGGGAAGGATGTCATGCTTGGTAAAGTGGAGGGCGGTGAAGAAGAGGAAGGCCGTTGACCAGACAGAGGGACACAGCGGCTGCAACCGCGGGCGTGAGCCCAGGAGCTGTTGTGAGGACGGCACAGGGCTGGGCCGCCTCGTTCTGTTGTGCTTCAGGTCTCTAGGCATCGGCAGAGCTTCCTCCACGGCACCAACACTAAACCCGACCGGGTCCTTGCGAGCTTACCAAGACACAGACTTAGCACAATGCCCTGCACAAAGTGAGGGAGGGAGGGATGAGACGTGGCTGCCAACTACAGCGACAATTTTTGAGTTTGTGGTTTCTTATTTTGGCAACGTAGCTGCCCTCTCAGTGGAAACCACAGCCATTTTGAAGACAAAGAGCCCTGGCGGTGCTATTGGCTAAGGGCTGGACTGGTCATTGCAAGCTTCACCCCACCAGCTGACCCCCGAGAGACAGGTGAGGTTACAGCTCGCATAGTGGTTTACAGCTTCAGAAAGCCATGGAGCGCTGCTATGTGTTGGAAGAGGCTGTGGGGTGGGAGGCGAAGAAAGTCACAGAATTCTAATTAATGGATTTAAATTAAATAAAGATAGTTAAGGGATATATCTGGTTAATTAATCCTGGTTAATGAAGCAATGTCCAGGCAGTTTGCCATAAGTGGGGAAAAACCCCAAACCAGGTAAGGTGATTTTAATTCATAGCTCACAAGTGGTCAAAGGCCAATACTGGAATGACCCTTCCTTCTCTTATGGTGACCAGAGTGGACAAAGCCGTGGAAACGAGCAGGTGGCTTTCAACCCCCTGCGAGCTCCGCTGTGGGATTCTGGTGGCGCCATTTGCATGATTGCTTACATCTTCCTTGTCCACCCTCTTAAAGAAGACTGGCCTTCCCACTGTCCCGGTGACACGGCTCCCTCTTTTCTCTGCCTGGAAGTCTGTCCTCCTAATTTTCACTGGGCTCCCTCTTGTCATTTAAGTCTCAGTTCAGATGCCACCCTTCTGAGGAGTCTTCCTTGAATGCCCACCATGCTTGTCCCTCCTCCTCCTCATGAGTGATATACGTGTACTCACTCATGCTTTCTTCCATCACACTTGATGTTTTCCTGTTTCCCTTACGAGAGTGTCAGGCCTGTCAGAGGAGTTATCTCCTCCGCCCGCCTGAACACATATCCTCTATACTAGATCAACCCTTGGCCGCGCCATCACCTCTCCTAGAACAGCCCTTGACACATATTGTTGTTGGCTGCTGGTGAGTCCACACGTGACTCAGATCAACTGCTTGGGCACCAGGAGGCAATGTTTGGTCCCGCGTCACCCCATGATGAGCATTCGATTGAACTGCCTTGACACATCACCGAGCCTCTTCTTCCCAGTCCATCCTACCCTGAAGTCCTGCGGATATCTGTTGCACGTCCTGGCAACAAGCAGGACTCCACTGACAGAGGGTGGTGGCTGTGTGAGGTGCATTGGCTGGGAACTGAACGGGTGCCTCCCGCAAGGAAGACAAGAATGCTGCTAATGAACCACTCATTCCCATCTGGCACATACTAAGAGTTTGTACACATTTGGTAAATCAATGCATGATGAGCCCCATGAATCAGCGAATGGCTGAGACCCAGAACATACCAACAGCATCTGAGAGTCCGTACACCCTTTGGCCGTAAGCATCTGTCTTGTCCCAGATGAAAGTGTAGGCCAGGTTGGGGGACGCTTGGAAGGACTTCTGGAAGAGATGGCCCTCCACGGCGACCATCAGGTGGACCTTGATGAGGTTCAGGGGGACCGTGGACTGGGTCATGGTGATCTTCAGCAGTGACTTGTACCCCGCCGTTCTGGAACTCATATAGCGAAGCTTCACATTGGAAGCCGGGAGCTCAATTTCCTCGTGCAGCACCTGCAGGGGACACATGGGAGGCACGCTGAGTCGAAGGCACCCAGGCAAACGAGCTTCTCTTCGGAAGGAGGCTGTCTGCCTGCTGCTGCCTCCTCCCCTGACACATCACCCCTCTGGGACCACCAGCACCATGGCTTCCCTGAGCTGAGGGAACGTCATTACCACCAGCTCCTGTCTCCACCTGCCACCACAGAGCAAGGGCTCCGCTTATGATTTGGGGAATTAATAATTATTCTTGGTCACTGTTGTGTTTCTTTTTAAAAACCACCCTGTTGGCAAAAGATGTAAATAAGAACAGCAGGCTTTATTGCTAGCTGTGTGCATGGAGGCCACGAGAGGCTGTAATTATGTGAACCTGCAACTTCCACTGACAATTGGTATAAAGCAACAGGGAGGCAGTAATGTAATATACCCTCTGTTGTAGCACCAATGCAGATCATTAAGGCGCCTCTTATCATGTATCTCAGCAACTAACAGGAATAAAAAGCAATTTGCAGGTGTGCTGCACATATGTAAATTGTTTTTATTTTATTAAAAGCCCCGATGACTGCCAAAGTCTTGGCCAACTCTCTGGAAACATCGTGCATGCGCAGGAGAGATTCCGAATGTATGGGGCTATCCATCCCACCGGGCTCATCCCCTACGGCTGCTCCCCCAGCTTCCAACTGAGTCTCTGGCCCACTCAGGGAGCGAGATGTGGGAGGAGGAAGCCAGCCTGTCACACTGGGGGCCTGCCGTTCCTACCTGGGTCTCAGGCACGATGGGGTTCTGCCCAGGGGCAGCGCTGAAGAAGGTGGACAGTGGGGAGGAGATGATGATTGGATCAGGCCGGACAAAGCCGCTGAGGTCGCAGCTGGGAATGGAGTTCTCCTCGGTCTTCATCACCAGGGTGTCCATGGCGTAAAAGCTATTCCACGGCAGCCACACGGTGCGCTCCTGGCTCATGAACGGGGCCCGCTCAAAGTGCAGGGTCAAGGATGCGCCCCCGTTGGCGATCAGGTCAAACCTGGAGAGAAGGTAAAGAAGGTAAAGAGAAGGTAAAGAAGGTAAGGGGGTGAACTTACCTCCAGCCACGGTAGGATGCTGGCACTCCTCCCCTGATGGCAAGGGAAGGACAGATCACAGGGGAGGAAGGTCTGAGCTAGAACCCAAGGCTTGACAGCTTATCAGTTGTGTGCCTGTGGTCAAGTTAATAATCCCTTCTGTAATGTGAGAATGGGTATCCCTGTGGCTGACAGAATGAAATATCATGTTGGGCGGAGGGCAGGGGTCATCAAACTGTGGCCCACTGGCCGAATCTGGCTCAACAACTGATTTGGTAAATAAAGTTTTTTTTAAAAAAATAAATTTCTTAGGGGTTCATACAACTCTTATCACAATCCATTCATACATCAATTGTGTAAAGCACATTTGTACATTCATTGCTCTCGTCATTCTCAAAACATTTGCTTTTCACTTAAACCCCCGGCATCAGGTCCTCATTTTTTCCCCTCTTCCCCCTCCCCCTCCTCATTAGTCCTTGATAATTTATAAATTTTTATTTTGTCATATCTTGCCCTGTCCGATGTCTCCCTTCGCCCACTTTTCTGTTGTCCATCCCCCAGGGAGGAGGT